GTCAATAGCCTCCGCTGACACGTCGTGGAACTTCGTGGAGAAACTCGAGCTCAAAAGGAAAACACCCATCAGGTGCAATACAATTTCTTTCCTGGCCTTTCCTTATTGATCCTAGTTATTTTGAAACAATATCAAAGCAACTTATTTCGCGGTATTTTCACCGATACAGTGGGCGAATTTACTATATCCATACAAAATTAATACGTAGCTTCTTGGAATAAACGAGTCCAATACTCACAACCTACTTGGTGAAAAGTATTGTATATTATGTAAGTATTCATTTGATGCATGGAACTCTATCTTCTCCTTAAGGCTATAGAAAGAATAATTATATTGTATATTAAGATAAGATTAGCCAGTACAAATGGATAGACAAACAGACAGACAAAAATTATAAACAATGTTATTTCGATAATGTACCGTATTTATATTCATACAAGTAGTAAAACGCGGTAATTTCAATAATTCAAACAGACACTCCAATTTTATTTATCTGTACCTGCAGATAATTTAGTAACTGAGTATATTATTTACGAAGCAGTTTATAAACGTTTACAAAGAATTGCAAAGATTGCATTAACTTTGCTAAAGAACTAGAAAGAAACTTGTGCCGCGGGTTTGTGTGATCCACAAATTATTGTTCCGAGTCTGGATGTCATCTGTATGTGAACTTGTATGTTTGTAAACGGACCCACGACACAGGACAAACTTCTAGTGTGGGGTAACGATTTAAAAAAAAAGAAATACTTTTAATGAAAAGTCGTTACAAAAACCCCATTTACGTATGTAGGTGTATATGTTCCAAACTTCCGCATTGTTGGTAAACGAGCCGGTAAGTACCTACTTAGTATGAACACGGTTTGGGTCGGCCATACTGTTGGCCACCTCAGATCTTAATATTATTACCATAAATCGAGTTTATCTGACATACCTATTTACAAATAAATGAATAATTCACATGATTCATGGAAAACTGTCTAAATAACAACATATACTATAGGTATTATAAGTTAAGTACAGTTAAATGCCTTGTTGTGATTATTAAATACATTAGCGTACATACCTCCTAGTTGTCGAATTTAAACGCGCTTATTCTGAATGCACACCCTCTATTACATGGGACTCATAACATAAATAGTGCAAAGTGGGTGTTACTTCTGTGTGCACTTCTGCCTACCCCTTCGGGGATAAAAGGCGTGATGTTATGTATTCTGAATTGGGACTATCTAAAACGTCCTTGTTGTCCTTGTTGTTGTCCGTATTGTAACGTCCTTGTTTGTATCTGAAGAAGGCTCATTTGTATCACTGTGTTACAACTAACATAAAATAACTACAACGCAATCAAAAATCACCTAAAATAGGTACTGCAATCGATATGGTACTCAGTGTCTCATACTTCACAGTCCCGTTCCAAACTAACGAGTCAATCCTTAATAACTCTTCCGCTGCATAAATTACGTTAACTGACCAATAAATCACAAGAGCTATGTCTTAGTCCTAGCAAAGATAACTTACCTCCCAGCTTATCCGATCTTGCTCAAATAGGAAGGAAAGGACCCATTTTAATGTCATTGACCTGAAGAAAAGGTAGCAACACACCCGGCGGAAACGAAATATTAACTTGAAGCTAAAGTCGACACTTTAATTACTTAGCTCGCTGTGACAGTTTGACAACGTTTTAAACTGGATCAAACCGGTATCCTGTTGGGTTGATGACCTTGTATGTCCTGTAGGAAACCCTGGATGTGTGTAAAATTATAAAATAAATAAAACTGACTGACTGCCTCGTTGGCCGAGTGGTCGTAAGTGCGACTGCTAAGGCACCGGCAAGGGGTGTCGGGTTCGATTCCCGGGTCGGGCAAAGTATTACTGGGTTTGTAAAAACCTCAGTAGTAGCACGGAGTCTGGAAATGTGCCCGGTATATGGCAATAGGCTCACCCCCTATTACATGGGACTCATAACATAAATAGTGAAAAGTGGGTGTTACATTGTACAGTGGCATTAAGTGCCGTAATGTGCACCTCTGCCTACCCCTTCGGGGATAAAAGGCGTGATGTTATGTTATGTTATGTTATGTTAAAAACATTTTAATAAAAAGATAGCTGACATCACTGTATCTTGACGAGACAATTAAGACATTGCACATACATAATCCTTGTCAACGAAACATATGTAAATCAATATTTTTATGCTTAAAATAATGTGACGTAAGTTGCACCATATAGGACATAAGTCTAAAAAAAATCTAAAAGAGAATAACCAAAAATGTTTTATTAAAAAAGCATCCTAGCGGGATTAAAACGGCGAATGACACAAAACAACAAATCGTAGTTCTACGTAAATCCGAAACCAGGTTTCCCGTGAAATTAGTAAAGATGTCCAAAGGGATTTGTGACCAAAATATACTTCCGAGTTCAAAGTTACAAATAAACCTTTTTTGCGTAGGTACAAATATAAATAAAAGTAAACAAACAAGTTATTTTGGGGACGCGATCTACTTGTACATACGCAATCTTCAACTTATTAACATAAACATTTGAGAATGGACCTAAGATGTGTGACAGTAACCAAGGAAAAGTTTTGTAGATATTTACTACGCTGTTATAAGCTAAATTAAAAAAAATTGATGTTTCATTGAACATAATGTGTAAAAAGTGAAACAATATCTTGTGACGTCATATTCTTCATATTTTTTATTTTCATTTAATCTATACATAGTTACGAATATGTCATTGAAACATACATCACAAAAGAATAACAGCCTCGTTTATCATTCATTAGTTAAAACTCCATCAAGAAGTGTTACTGAACAACTATTATTATTTAAACTACACGTATCTATTGATTGTTTCAAGGTTACTAATTACTAAGATCTTATTATATTAACTTCTAACACCAATACGCAATACGTTTATTAACCCAGTACAACATAAACCTATTAATACTTAAAGAGGAAAAAGTATGTATGATCTTAGGAATTTAAAATTTTTCATTAAAACATGAAGAAAAATATATTTTCATTTTGTGCCTAAAACTTCGCATAAATTTTGCTTTACTGTACCTGTAGGGATTTAGGGAATCCCTTCCTTAATACTCATTTGTATAAATAACGAACTGTATACTATACTAAATCTTTATACCTATACAAAGATGCTTAGGAACACTGATAAGATCATACTTAACTAAAAATCGCGGGTTACTCACGTGAATACACTGAGAAAAGCTGTACTAGTTTGCGGGCGAGGCGATGTCGCGAACTGGCTACACGCCGCGACCGCGCACGCTGCTCATGAGGAAGAACCCCTCTATGGTTCGAAACTAGTAGAGCTTTTCTCAGTATATTCACTTAAGTAACCCGCGATTTTTAGTTAATTTAGTATGTCTCACAATAGTCATTACAAGATATATATTTTATATCTTATAAATCAAAGAATTTGTACGACTCAAAAAAAAATCACTTAACTGTATTTATCAATCCGTATGAATCGATTTCACAAGGAGGAGGATATTATTTTACAGCTACAAATTTTACGAGGTACCTAAATAATCAAATATTGTACCTATTTGAAAACTAATTAATTAAGTGAAACTGAAGGACGAAGCTCGATATTATATTATGAGAAATTTGGATCACACGTGTAAACGTGCGTTATATGTACAATGTACACTAAATTCATATAATTATATTTGACTTATACTTATTATCTTATTAAGCCACAGTCGGTGTTTCCGCAAATTTTTCAACGAACACAGTCGTAAAAATAACTGACGCAGTATTTTTTAGAGTAATTAATTAGAATTCCTTAATATCCTTTATCGAACGTATCTAGTGTGGATATGTCCGTTTACGCTCCATTTTATAGTTAAAGTCTGTCCAACGAATTATAGTGCACTTATAAAGCTATTGAATACAGGGATTCTGTATATGCTACTCCTGCGGTAAATATTAGAAATTCTGGTCTCGATGGATAAATTAACGTTTTTAAGAATAAACAGTCTTTGAAATTTTAATAAATTAAAGTAAAGATTTCTCATAGTTTTACGTACTCAACATGAGCAATGAGCAATTTGTTTTGTAGCTTTTTAACAGCTGTGGTCATTCTTGCACTTTATCAATTGACTACTTATAGTCCTGTGCCTCATGGAACCTTCGTAAGAATAAAAAAGCTGAAAAACCAATGACTACAAATAAAATGTTTTCGTTGGTGTCTTTGCGCAAAAGTTGCAACTGTTTTGGTCATACATACTGTACGAGCACAACACGGAACTGTATGTATTAGTAATCGAGTAATTCCTCGTGTTCTTGGACACTACTACGCTTGACTGGGCGCGCGAACCTTTCATTGTTCGTAGCTCGAAGCGCAAACGCACTAACTGAGCTTCGTGGTAACATTATCAGGGATTTCAATTTCAACCTAATGCTTATGATGTTAAGAATGATTTCTCAATGCTCAATATCTAACACTTAATCCTTTCAAATAATACAAAGATGCAGCTTTTGTAATAATAGCACTTACCCACTAAGTTAAATCTTTTAGGTCAAGCAAAAGCTAAATATTAATAGATTAGTAGGCATTAAATTAAAGTCAAGGCGCTTTCCTAATGTTGCAAACAAAAAGAGACAAACGAAGGTTGGGCGGCTTTCATAAACTGTTTCATTATTAATTAAAACATAAAGGAAGATCCGTTTGCAATTTTCTTGAATGTATGTATGTAGAGCGTCGTACACTTCGCTGACATCGTTGCGCACTACATACTCTGACCACGAAATTCTTTTGCTATGTAATGTTTGACCGCCACACACTCACCGAGGTCATTATTGACAGCTGACATTGTTCTATCTATGTTACAAACGAATATACTTGCGCCTGAAATTACCCTACCTTTTAATTATATCCGGACGGTATAAATATAGTTGAATGCGAATCGAATTTATCAGTCGACCGTCTGCGGTTTGAAGTGATCTAGTTCGTCAGAAAAAACACAGACCACGTTCAAAATGAAATCGATGGTGGTGTTATTCGCTGTGTGCGCCGTGGCGTGCGGCTCCCTGGTGCCGCTGGCGCAGCCTCCTCACCATCCCGCGCTCGTGCTGGACCCGCACGGCCGCCCGCTCGACACCGCCGAGGTGATCAACGCCCGTGCCCTGCACCTGCAGGCTAAGGCCCTGGATGGACACTACGCTCCCCTCGCGCACGCTGCCGTCGTGCCCGTCGCCCACTCCGTGGTCGCCCCCGCCGTGGTGGCCGCTCCCGCCGCCGTGTCCCACCAGTCCCGCGTGGATGTGCATAGCAGCCCCGCCATCGTGAGCCACGCCGTCGCTGCTCCCGTAGTAGCTCACAGCGTATACTCCGCCCCCCTGCTGGCTCACTCCGCTCTGGGATACGCCGGTCACGGACACTACCTGAAGAAGCGCTCCCTGGGACACCTCGCCTACGCCGCTCCCGTCGTCGCCCACGTAGCTCCCTCCGCGGTGTCGCACCAATCCCGCGTGGACGTCGTCTCCAGCCCCGCCGTGGTGTCTCACGCCGTCGCTCCCGTAGTGTCCCACGCCTACGCCGCTCCCGTAGTGGCTCACGCTGCCCCCGTTGTCGCCGTGGCTCCCGCCGCCGTGTCTCACCAGTCCCGCGTTGATGTGCGCACCAGCCCCGCTGTCGTCTCTCACGCCGTCGCTCCCCTAGTCCACGCTGCTCCCGTCTACGCTTCTGGCTACGGCGCTCACGGATACGCCGCATACGGCGCTCACGCTCATGGACTCCTCCACTCTGCTCCTCTTGTCCACGGCCACGCCTGGTAAACAGCGAAACTGACGAACACCTAAGATTATCACCTAAGATGATGTAAAAATAATAAAAAAAAATATTTATAAAATAAATATGTACGTTAACATACCTATTTCAGTCTTTTAGTACATTGTTTTGCAAACTTTATTATAGCATTCGATGTGTATTTATTTGATCCTCGAAAAAGTAGATGTTTGAACAAAATCTAAAAATGAGAATCCAAAAATGACAACACCGTACATGAATTTGTTGTAATAATGTAAGAAAATAGTTATACATTAATACTATAAAAAAGTGCCTTTTGTAAATGACAACCTAAATAATAACCATAAAATCACTTTTTTTAAACCTTTCAAACCTTCACACAATTAAAATAATGCCACATTTTTTGTTAGTGTTTTTGTAGGTGCTTTGCAGAGTTCCATGTATAGGACATCAGTGACGTTATTTAACAACGAAATGCATTTTTCTCGAATGACCTCATTCTCTTCACTCATAGTCGAAATCATTGAGGAGGCCTACATATGTTCAGCAATGAACGTCTTGTCGCTGATATGATTAAGAGGTGACTCTTCACGTATATAATAATGAAAATAGCAGTAAGTATAATAATGAAAGTACCAGAAAACTATTTTGTGGGTCCAGTGACCACAAGCGCGACTGTTAAACATGAGATATCAAGACAATATCAGTCCTAAAGTCGAGTATTATAAGATTTTTCAATTCTAATACTGTAAGGTTGGCGCGGTGGCTGGGCAACTGGCTGCCGCACAACGTGTCGCAGGTTCGATTCCCGCACGGAACAACTCGTTGTGTGATTCACATATTGTTGTTCCGGGACTGGGTGTCATGTGTATGTGAACTTGTATGTTTGTAAACGCACCCACGACACAGGAGAAAATCCTAGTGTGGGGCAAGGTAAAAAAGAAAATAGTAACTGATTCTAGAACCAGGCTCTTTATTCAGCAGATAGCTCACCGCATTTCTCCGTATAGAAATTTTATTTATTTTAGTGTTATGGTGATTACAGAGTAAATGATGTTAAGTTCGATACCAGAGTCCAGGCGAGCATAGTGTACGTAATAATGGATTTTACTTCCTATTGCGAAAATTTTCTAATATAGCATTGCGTATAGGAATATTGTAACTTGACTTATTTGGGAAAGAAGGCGTTCACACAGGTCCTTCATCTCGATCGGTCCTGAGTTTCTCGCTATATTGTAATTTATTATCGCAATAAGTCAGAACTCGCGTATACGAATTTTACACTTGTTTGCGACTTGTTATTAGTTACGCGATTAAACATGTTAAATGAGGTTTTTATTAATATTTTTGACTGCCTTGTTGGTCGAGTGGTTGCAAGTGCGACTGCCGGGCAAGGGGTCTAGGGTTCAATTCCCGTGTCGGGCAATGTACTACTGGGTTTAAAAACAATTAGTAGTAGCACAGAGTGTGGAATTGTGCCCGATATATGGTAATAGGCTCACCCTCTATAACATAAATAGTGAAAAGTGGGTGTTACATTGTACAGTGGCATTAAGTGCTCTAATGTGCACCTCAGCCTACCCCTTCGGGGATAAAAGGCGTTATGTAATGTTATTAATATTTTATGTAGTCTATGAATGAGTGTCAACGTGTAAGATATGTTTTTTTCAAACTACTGAACCTCTAACATTTTCCAACTGAAACTAATTTGTGCCCAGTAGCCAACATTGACTCAACCCTCACTATTTTACAACGACTCACAATTTCACTAGTAAAAAGCGTGAGAATGACGATAAGTACAGTTTTCTGTCCCTGCTCAGTTAATTTCAGTGCTGATAGGAGCATCATCATCACCATTATCGTCACCAGGCAAAAATTTTCACTATTGACTCAAACTCAAACAGCTGCTTAGCTATTCTGTAACCGTCAATGCGAACTCTCGAAGTGATCTCGATCGCATCTCGCCCGTCATTGGTCAAGTTGATTCTCATAACCAATAACATGGCGGACTGCGATCGAATTCATTTCGATCTTTAGAATTTAAAGTTACAGATTTTTTATGTTTGCTGGGCTGCTTCATTTAACCGCTATCGCGCCTGATGGTGCGATGATACGGTCTACGAAGGAGCACATCGTTCCATAAACAACCTACTCACTCATGCCTTGAGGACACCCAGGTTATAGGAAATACACTCACACCTTTAGGAAATACACTCTGGCAAAGAATTCAAATCTTTAGCAGTACGCACAAGGAAGCTTGATGTGAAGCGCTTTGTGCGTGTGGATGGGGCATCTACCGGTGACGCTTCGCCGATTGTCTTGAGATACAATGATGAAAAGGACCATGGAGAATCAGCAATAGAATAGCCTACCTGTTCAAAAGTCATGGCAGTGTACGATGCCCAACGACACAGGGACCTGCATCTAATCATCAGTCGTAATACGTCCACTGATATTAAGAGGGTATTTGCCAAAGGTAATTCCCTCTTGCTAGCCCTCTTGCTTGGGGTCACTCCACCTGGCAAGATGCCAGTCCTCTGTCCATTCTATGTACTATGTTTATAACCAGTTATAAATATGCAAGCAGTTTGTATTAACCGAGTTCCTAGACCGAGCATGAAAATGCACTAAAACCTCCTTCTCACATACCTCGCGTTATTGTCAAATCACGGTGACCAGTCAAACAAGCAAAGCCTACTACAAGTATCCGCATTCATAAGAAATGGGAAGTGTTGCTATATATCTTGCTGCCGTGTTAGTTGAGTCCAAGGTTCTGAATTTGATTCCTATGTAAGACATAATTGTATTACATGTTATTTAAATTTTCGGTATTGAAATATTCATAATATTTCATGGTTTGGATTATAATATTACATTGCAATGAATACAATAGATTTTATATGTTAAAGATTTTTTTAATTTATTTTTTTATTAATCATCTTATTAATTTAATAGAATTCAATCTTACACGTCTTATTGAAATAAATAATTAAAACTAATATATTACACCTAAAAAAAATAATAATAATGAAAATAAATCATAAGGCATCAAAGAAAACATTTTCCTCATCGCTACCGTGAGGTAGGGTGCCCAAAAGACTGGCAGCATTGCCACGTTGAATGTCAATGCTGCCATTGCAATGTTAAAGTGAGTGGCTATTAACATATATCTGACTCTACCATTTCTGAGAATGTCAATAGCGATGGTAAGAAGTTATCGCATCCATAAAAATAGGTACATCGTCAAGTTTGTTCTAAGTCTTTGATTTATTGCGTTGACTACAAGAGTATTGAAAAAGTGAAACCATATTATAGATCTATGAATATCTAAAACATAATACAATCATGAGATTCTACTAAGTACGTCATCCTTATGACAGTCACTGCATATGTACAACTAGCTGTTGCCCGCGACTTCGTCCGCGTAGATTAATGACTTCTGACAGAATTAATCAGAATCAATTCAGTGCTCGAGTAAGATTTACCTATTTTGAAATGATTTATCGTAGTTTCAATAAATAAATAATCCCGCAGGGATCTTACCAGTACAGTGCCCAATCACGTAAGGTTTGGGTAATAAAAACTATTCTATCGACTATTGTTGTACCGAATCTCTCTAAAATAAGTTCAGTGGTTAAGAGTTAGAGAGCCCTGGGGCATTGACGCATAGTTCCCGTTCCCGTGGGACATCTGTGATAAATACTATCAAACGTTACCCAGGTCCCAAATCATCGTTTTACCGAATGTAATTCTAAAAGATTCAATGATTCTACATTCAATGGCTAAGAAGATTTATACAAACTCTAATTCCCTATTTTATCCCTTTAGGCCTTTAGGGGTGGAATTTATCATATCCTTTAGATATATCCTAAGTAGATACCTATGTCATAGTAACTTTATGCATGCAAAGTCTTAGCCCAATCGGTTTAAAACTGGCAAAGTATCATACAAACTTTCACCCCCTATTTTACCCACCTTGGGTGAGTATGTTCAAAAACCTTTCTAAAGGGACGTTTACGTCATAATATCCATCTGCACGCCGAATTTCAACCCGATCGGTGTAAAACTGACAAAGCTTCATACAAACGTTCATCCCCTACATTACCACATTGGAGGTGGAAATGATCATAAATCCTTACTTGGGGATGCCTACGTCATAACGTCTTCCTGCATGTCAAATTTCAATCCGATCGATTTAAAACTGACAAAGTCCCATACAAACTTTCATCCCCTATTTTACTCCCTTGGGGGTGGAAATTATCAAAATCCTTTCAAAGCGGATGCTTACGTCATAACATCTATCTGCATGCCAAATTTCAACCTGATCGGTTTAAAACTGACAAAGGCTCATATAAACTTTCATCCCCTATTTTACCCACTTGGGGGGGAAATTATCAAAATCCTTTCACAGCAGATACCTACGTCATAAACATCTATCTGCATGCCAAATTTCAACCCGATCGATTTAAAACTGACAATGTCTCATACAAACTTTCATCCCCTATTTTACCCACTTGGGGGTGGAAATTATCAAAATCCTTTCACAGCGGATGCCTACGTCATAACATCTATCTGCATGCCAAATTTCAACCCGATCGATTTAAAACTGACAATGTCTCATACAAACTTTCATCCCCTATTTTACCCCCTTGGGGGTGGAAATTATCAAAATCCTTTCAAAGTGGATGCTTACGTTATAACATCTATCTGCATGCCAAATTTCAACCCGATCGGTTTAAAACTGACAAAGTCTCATACAAACTTTCATCCCCTATTTTACCCCCATTGGGGGTGGAAATTATCAAAATCCTTTCACATCGGATGCTTACGTCATAACATCTATCTGCATGCCAAATTACAACCCGATCGGTTTAAAACTGACAAAGTCTCATACAAACTTTCATCCCCTATTTTACCCCCATTGGGGGTGGAAATTATCAAAATCCTTTCACATCGAATGCTTACGTCATAACATCTATCTGCATGCCAAATTACAACCCGATCGGTTTAAAACTGACAAAGTCTCATACATAATTTCATCCCCTTTTTTACCCCCTTGGGGGTGGAAATTATCAAAATCCTTTCACAGCGGATGCTTATGTCATAACATCTATCTGCATGCCAAATTTCAACCCGATCAGTTAAAAACTGACAAAGTTTCATACAAACTTTCATCCCCTTTTTTACCCCCTTGGGGGTGGAAATTATCAAAATCCTTTCTTAGCGAATGCTTACGTCATAACATCTATCTATATGCCAAATTATAGCCCAATCTGTCCAGCGGTTTGGGCTGTACGTTGATAGATCACTATGTCAGTCAGTCAGTCAGTCAATCACCTTTGAATTTTATATATATAGATAGAAGATATCCCTAATATAACCATTCATTTACAGAAAACTTAGTTTTTTTTTTCAAATTAATGTGACAAAATATTTCATAGATGCTATATCTAACATGTTTATTGATTGTTTTATGATTACACGCACACTTCTTCCGACGTATTTTGTTTGACCGCCATACATTCTCCGAGGTCAATGCAAAGCTAGTTAAACAATGTAGCAACGAATATATTACGTCTGAAATTGCTTTACCTTTAACTTATATCCGGTCAGTATAAATACACGAGTGCGCTGGTCAAATTTATCAGTCGACCGTCTGCGGTTTGAAGTGATCTAGTTCGTCAGAAAAAACACAGACCACGTTCAAAATGAAATCGATGGTGGTGTTATTCGCTGTGTGCGCCGTGGCGTGCGGCTCCCTGGTGCCTCTGGCGCAGCCTCCTCACCATCCCGCGCTCGTGCTGGACCCGCACGGCCGCCCCCTCGACACCGCCGAGGTGATCAACGCCCGCGCCCTGCACCTGCAGGCTAAGGCCCTGGATGGACACTACGCTCCCCTCGCGCACGCTGCCGTCGTGCCCGTCGCCCACTCCGTGGTCGCCCCCGCCGTGGTGGCCGCTCCCGCCGCCGTGTCCCACCAGTCCCGCGTGGATGTGCACAGCAGCCCCGCCATCGTGAGCCACGCCGTCGCTGCTCCCGTAGTAGCCCACAGCGTGTACTCCGCCCCCCTGCTGGCCCACTCCGCTCTGGGATACGCCGGTCACGGACACTACCTGAAGAAGCGCTCCCTGGGACACCTCGCCTACGCCGCTCCCGTCGTCGCCCACGTAGCTCCCTCCGCGGTGTCGCACCAATCCCGCGTGGACGTCATCTCCAGCCCCGCCGTGGTGTCTCACGCCGTCGCTCCCGTAGTGTCCCACGCCTACGCCGCTCCCGTAGTGGCTCACGCTGCCCCCGTTATCGCCGTGGCTCCCGCCGCCGTGTCTCACCAGTCCCGCGTTGATGTGCGCACCAGCCCCGCTGTCGTCTCTCACGCCGTCGCTCCCCTCGTCCACGCTGCTCCCGTCTACGCCTCTGGCTACGGCGCTCACGGATACGCCGCATACGGCGCTCACGCTCATGGACTCCTCCACTCCGCTCCTCTTGTCCACGGCCACGCCTGGTAAACAGCGAAACTGACGAACACCTAAGATTATCACCTAAGATGATGTAAAAATAATAAAAAAATATTTATAAAATAAATAATATAAACAATATACGTTTACTTTTCATTTTACTCTAGTATGGGATAGGATTCAAAACCTCTTTTTAACAAATCTTATACCTATACGATACGTAGGAAACTGCGTCTTTGATTCTTCCTATGAGTTCCCTCAATTGAGTAACAGTTTTTTAATATTTAATTCGTCGAGTACCGGTTTTATAGACACAATTAAAGAACAATAGGTCGCGGTCACCGGTGACCGCTTGGTGTTTGACAGATTAATAATAATAAATTGCTGCCAAAAACCTACTAATTTCCAAATCTTTTGAAGTCAAGGAATGCTGTCTTGTTTAATGCATCTAGTAACAATCTCTATTACACCACGGTTATAGGTAATTGATCAATTATTTTAAAACAAGTGAAGGATTCATTAGACCGAACAAGATTAACACGCAGCATGTAACTGTGAGAATATGACTTTAACAAAGCTTTTTGTCGCACGGTTTCATTCCCGTCTCCTCTGATCGAATGCTGTAATATCAACTCCATGGTTCCTGCTTCTATATAACGTGTCGCGTAACTTCATTAAATAAAGTAGAAATTACAAACCTCTAATAGGCAGTACAAAAGGGAGCTAAAGATTTTTTTATTAACATGAAAAACATAATTTAGTTTTCTCCTGGTTTTAGTAATTGCACAGATTTCGAGGTATCGTTATGGTAATTACACACTATCTGTAAAAGTACCTCACAAATACGATATACATTCAATCACTTTTCTGAATTTACATACAACATTGATTAGGTTAGGTTATTAGGTTATCTGATATTTGGATAAAATTGTACATAGTCGACACAGCGCCGCATCGCATATTTTATTCATTCCTTTCTAAATACTGCAATAGTTACAAAAATACATTCCAGATCACCTTCTAACAATGAAGCTTCAATAGCTTAGCAATAGTGGTTCTCGGAATGCGTCTAATGTAGTACTTTATGTACTGAATTATATATATTCGCCAATTCCTAACCTTGCGATACAGGCAGTTAAAGTTCTACTGTCCTTGTGACTGTCGCTTTAACTACATAGCTACTAAAGTCACTATAATTATATTATATTGCGTTTGGTACATTTGAGAGGACGACGGAAGAACGATCTCGAAATATTACAATTTACATTAAAATATGCAGAAACAAATATCAGGTACCAACAAACTAATGACATTCGGAAGTCTGCTATTTAATCTATGGGATCTTAATGCTGTTGGATTTCTCAATTGATTCGATAACATAGTTGTCAGTCACATTTCACAACATATTAATAAAAAAACTGTTGAAGAGTCTTCCGCAAACCAATGTATATTATGAAATAAAATTAATATGTAGCACTAAATTCACAAAATAAAGTTATAGATGCATAGATGACTTTTGCCTCATTAAGATTTTTATTCGAATTGTGTTCATAAACTATATGAGTATTAAACACCAACGTTTAATTCAGGCTCAGATATAACGAAGCGTCTTCACAATAGCCTATTACACCTTTGGAACATACAGAATTAAATTATTAATAAGTATACATTAATGACGTATGTACGTGCCCGCATGAACTTATGTATCAACCCACGACATACCCTCCATAACGTAATTACCATGACGGTGAATTCAGAGCGGTTTGGCAGCCATATATACAATCTCTAGGTAGGTAATATGAGTATGCGTCATATGTACTTCGAGATAAGAAATAAAATAGATTTCCGTACTTATACTCCTCTTTCTTCTTTCTTTCTGATTTTCATGGAAAGAGTAAATTTTGGTTTTTCGAATAACCAAAAGTGCTAAACAAATGTTATTTGTTTTCATGGTCTGAGCTAGTACCTGCAAGTTTTTACGTTTATTCAATAACATTGTATGTAGTAATAATACATTATGTATATTGTATATATTACTTTTTAATCAACATTGATAGGAAATAAAATACAAGAAATATTATTATTATTGTTTTATTCGTCTATTCATTTTAATAAATAAGTATTAAAACGAAAAATATATTCGTTTTCGTCGAATCTCAGTTTGCTTTACCAAAGTGCAGCTTTCAGATGGTGGGGAGCAGACCAGATGGCAGAGTGAGCGATCGGGGCAAAGTGGGACACAGCAGGGGCGGCGTACACGGCAGCGGGAGCAGCGTACACAGCGGGAGCGGCGTGAACGTAGGTAGACACAACAGCGGGCTTGGAGATCACGTCAACACGAGACTGGTGGGACACAGCAGAAGGAACGGCGTGCACAACGGGGGCCACGAAGTGACCAAGAGATCGCTTCTTCAAAAGATGGGCGAGTCCAGCATGGGCACCGTATACAGAGTGGGCGCCGTATGCAGCATATCCATGAGCACCGTATGCGGAGGCAGCGTAGACAGGAGCAGCGTGAACGAGAGGAGCGACGGCGTGAGAGACGACAGCGGGGCTGGTGCGCACATCAACGCGGGACTGGTGAGACACGGCGGCGGGAGCTACGGCGACAACGGGGGCAGCGTGAGCCACTACGGGAGCGGCGTAGGCGTGGGACACTACGGGAGCGACGGCGTGAGACACCACGGCGGGGCTGGAGACGACGTCCACGCGGGATTGGTGCGACACCGCGGAGGGAGCTACGTGGGTGACGACGGGAGCGGCGTAGGCGAGGTGTCCCAGGGAGCGCTTCTTCAGGTAGTGTCCATGACCGGCGTAGCTGAGAGCAGAGTGGGCCAGTAGAGGTGCAGAGTAAACGCTGTGGGCTATTACTGGTGCAGCAATGGTGTGGCTCACGATGGCGGGGCTGCTGTGCACATCCACGCGGGACTGGTGGGACACGGCGGCGGGAGCGGCCACCACGGCGGGGGCGACCACGGAGTGGGCGACGGGCACGACGGCAGCGTGCGCGAGGGGAGCGTAGTGTCCATCCAGGGCCTTAGCTTGCAGGTGCAGGGCGCGGGCGTTGATCACCTCGGCGGTGTCGAGTGGGCGGCCGTGCGGGTCCAGCACGAGCGCAGATTGGTGCAGCGGCTGTGCTAGAGGCACAAGAGAGCCGCATGCTACAGCACATAAAGCAGAAAACACCACCAGCGTATTCATTTTAACGTGGTCTGTGTTGTGAGATTCGACGATACACAAGATCACTTCAAACCGTGTAACGGCGACTGATACTTTTCACTTACTATTGGACTCTTTTATAGTCCGAGCGGTCAAATTATAAGCTGGGTACATACACAATTCATAATTTCTCAGATCTTAAGTTACATTAGGTATGGATAGCAATGTCAAGTGTCATTATGAAAGTAATCAGCCTTGCAATAAGGCAGCTTTTGCGTAGTACTTAATTACACTTCCGACACGGCAGCCGCCTGTGTGATCTTGGATTATAATAAAATAAAAATCGTAAACGTCATACGGATACCAAATATTTGTTAGTGTATTTACATAATTATCTGGAGGGATCATATTTCACAACAAGCTACCGGTGTGATAACAGCGTTACATAATAGTTATATTGTATTGTCTTTCACTGAGCTCAGTACCTAATCCGAAATCGTGGATCTACGTCACGCCCTGCAATACTAACCTACTATGGTTTATATTTAAGTCTGTATGTTTTTCTAACGTTTAAATGAGCTTTCCGGTGTAAGCTTTTCCAGATTTGCAAATAACATTTTTAATCGTTATACATATAACTATGACACATTATTGCAGTATTGTTCAATTGCTGATCTCATTCCTAGATTAATAATACCTTGTAACACAGGACAAAAGATAACACAGATATTCTTTTTCAGATTCCGAAATCGAACTCGAATCGAAGGCTGCTTCTCTTGTCATGCAGTTAAACTCAATAAACATGGAACGGCAGACAAGCAACTTCATTTCCAAAGTTCAAATTAGTTTTTTTTTAATTTCGTAACTCTAATTTTGTTAGACCTTATTATTATCTGCTAAAAATAAACATAAACCTACTTGGTTATGCAAATAAAAAAAACATACGAAACAAGTGTGAGGGTGTAATTAGAAATATTCTCACGCGATACTTGTTTCAAGTTTATTTGATATCACGACCGGAATACAATTTGTTCGCTATCGTTACTTCTGAATCTAATTAATACAAAATTCGCACACATGATACGATGCAATAAATTTCAAACTATAAATTCTTATTAAGAACTGGAGTTCTCTAAAAAACCTCTGATAAAACTAATTATGACATAAGACTAAAATACTACGAGTAAATACCTGCATACATATATTTTTAATGACTGATATTAAATAAATAATATGGGTAACAAATATTATTTCATTAACTAAATGAACTAGACTATCCGGTAATTAGAAATTTTCCGCGTATGTATGTAATAAACCCGTAGCCTAATTACTTATAAATAGCAAATGTCGATTGTTCAATCTTCATCAATAAAGAAAAATATGCATCCTCGCGTTTCAATATAAATAAAAGATGCTAACGCTAGGAATTGAACTGAAGTATAAAATCACAAGGATAATTTTGAAAAGGGCAGAGCAGATTCCAGTTTACAAAGAAAGCAATAAGAAAATGTCACATACATGTACGTCCTTTATGTAAACCTTTGGAAATACCGGAACAGTGCATGTTGTGTTTTTTTTATACTTGATGAGTCGACGTTTGACCATTACCTCGCCTGGCAGTAAGCGATGATGTGTTCTACGATGGAGCACTTCGTCCCATAAGCAACCTATTCACTCGGGCCTTGAAGAACCCCAGGTACCCCAATACCCTTCGGGAAATACAGATATTGTATTGCATAATTGGATACTTGCCAACTAGTCAAATTCAATACTTTTTCGAACTGTCAAAAACGACAGTTTTTTTTGGGTTCAAACAGCATACTTATTTCCTAAAAATTTGCTGAAAAAATATTAAAATTAAATTGGTCATAAAATCGATTAATGACATACTTAATTGTAAATGATTAATTAATTAATGACAGTGTGATTATTTTTTTTATTTTATTGTATTGTCAGTCAAAATAATTTACTTTTGATTAAGGAAAGTACCCAATTATTGTGATTAAATAACATAGTATCCAGTATTTGACAAGTTTGTGTGTACTCTACTTTTGCTCACCAAATGGCGTAAGTGTCAAAATCTTGTTTTTCGTCCAGAAAGAATTAGCTATCGTTGGATTGGTAAATATTTGGCAGCTCCAGTGATTAGACAAAAAAACCTCTAGCTATATTTGCGCTATTTAGTAACCAATAAAACGGTAGCCCCATTCCCTATTACTTAATACTGATACAACTATTGAAGAAGATACGTTTGTTTTTTTTTCAAATCTAGTTACGTTTGAATATTTCTCTTCTATATGAAAACTTACAGAGTTCATTTCACATGTTTGTGACATTTTCACTAAATGCCAAGAGGTCGTGAGTCGCGGACTGAAAATATTCAGACACAATGATATTGTTTAACGCAGATATTGTGTGATACGGTTATCTATAAATGAGTTTGATATAAAATTGTATCGTAAAGTTTATAGGTCACATTGTATTACTGGAATTTAATCTAGTGACAACAAATTTCGATGATAGGTGTTTTACAATGCTTCGTAGGTCCAAGAGTGTACTACTACAATAACGGCCTATGTTTGAAAATGAATTCTTAGATTAGATAATGTATGATTCTGACCATACAGTATTATAATACTTCAGAGGATGCACGACGTTCCTAAAATTATTTAAAAGTCGACTGCCTCGTTGTACGAGTGGCCGTATGTGCGACTGCCGAGCAAGAGAATATAGGTTTTGATTCCCGAATCGGGCAAAGTAGCATTGGGATTTCTCAGTAACAATAGAACACGAAGACTGGAATTGTGCCTATGCATTAAACGCACAGAAACGCCGACTTACTACATTATTATACGTATATGTATGTCTCAGTTAGTAGCGAACATTCTCTTACTTATGTTTTTATTATATCATAAGCGGTGCCATAAGTCATGTTGGTATACGCCTACAAACAAACATCAGGAACTTCCTAGCATCCGTATACATGTAGTGGGCATAACTTAATACTATAATATCTACTTATACATGCGTAAAGGCCTCGCACAAACATTTCCTGAAGATTTGATTAGTAAACAAAAGTAGTTAGCTAACTTTATGGTTCTCTTTTCTATGTGTTTTAGAGGTTTAATGATCGACTACTATATCTATTCTCTACCCGCTCCGGCTTCGCACGAGTGCAATATGCATGTATTTTACATATAAACCTTCCTTAAGAATCATTCTACCTTTAAAAAAAACCGCATCAAAATCCGTTGCGTAGTTGTAAAGATCTAATACACAGGGACAGACAGACGGCGGATAGCGATTTTATTTTATAATATGTAGTGATTTAATGTTTGTACGTCAAATACAATTAATCAACTTGAATCAAAAAGATGAAACGTTGAAGGAAAATATCTTGAAAAAACCTGGGTTTATAATTTTCAAATAATTATAAGTTTGAAATAGCCATTGAGCAAACCTTCACAGTGCGAAAATGGACTTGTACTCAGCAGTGGCGCGAGTCAAAAAGTAGTTTGCCTTTTAGTTAGAAATCTGTCAGACATAATCACGGAATCTTTATGATACAATAAATTCTCTTCACTTTTCAGAAAAATAAAGTTTTCTGAGTTCGTTACTAAAAGCTAAAAAAAAGTTTATTCTGTGGCTACAAATAAATACACTTATAAGAACAACAGTAGGTACCCGTGTCTCACAACTATCGACAAACAAATGATTTTCATCAATTATCGCACGAAACATTGATTTTGGAGGGAAACTCAATATTTATATTTTGTTTCATTTGTGAATAATAAAGCAGTAATAAATAGAATCCACCAATATAGTTACTAAATGGGAGTATACTTGTCTGTCGTCAATAGAGCGAGTTCTTTCAAATAAAAGTATTTTTACGGTAGAATTAAACAAACACATCAACTTCCTTAAAATCATAATACGAGTACTACATGCATACCCGGTAGATATTACCATTAAAGAAATAGTTCTTTAATAGTAATGGTAATATACTATGTTTTAATAATTTGCATGTAATCTAAACAGGAACTTGCATGTGTAGTTACAATCTGGGCGAAATTTTCACGCACATGTGTTATTGAGATCAATTTCAAACACTTAATATCCATGTGCAATAAGGTAACAAAAAAAAGATAAATTTATAAAAATATAAATTATTTTATTCACCAAAATACATACACTTTATTGACTTTACAAAACTTATTACCTATCAATGTCATTGGATCCTATCACTCTTGTCGTTTACCAGTAGGAAGCGTATACAGAAGGAGCATAGACGGAGCGAGCTTCGACTACAGCGGCAGCGGGCACTACGTGCTGGGTCACTACAGCTGGCGAAGACTTTACGTCCACACGAGACTGGTGGGACACAGCGGAGGCGCCGGAGTATACGGTGGCTACGGGAGCGTACACGGAACGAGCTTCCACCACAGCGGGAGCGACGACGTGCTCAGCGACAACTGGCGCGGCGTAGCTAGTGACAACAGCTGGTGAATGGTGCACGTCGACACGGGACTGGTGGGACACAGCTGAGGCGCCAGTGTACACAGCAGGGGCGACGACAGTGCGCGCTGCAACCACAGGCTCAGCAACTACAGCAACCTCCACTGGGGCTACCACGGCAGGGGACGAGTGCACGTCCACCCGAGACTGGTGCGACACCGCAGCGGGCACGGAGTACGCCACCGCCAGGTGCTCCACTGATCTCTTCTCTGCACTGGGAGCAGCCACGGCAACAGCCACAAGAGCGAACAACACCACCAACGATCTCATCGTGAACGAGGTCTGTGTCGGGATCCGAATGAGGACGATCACTTCGTACCGATGTCGGTAGACTGATGACAAACTAAAAATCGTCCCGCTATTTATACGTATGATTATAATCTACGTATGAGTATAGTTTACTATTTGGGCGTCTAGGAATATAAAACTCACTGTCCTTGTCCGCTGTCGCCTAAATCAGTTGCTACTTGAAAAGGTCGCAATTGATACAGTTACGCCTAATGTAGGCTCGAGGAGTGCGATATTGACATTTAATGAAGATATATTCGATAATCGCAAAAAATCATTACAAACACGTTGTTGATCTAGAAATATTTATTGTTTCAAGGGCAAGCAATATCCGCTTTGTATCCGCAATTAGCGAGGTATTGGCAGGTGGACGCAATGATTGAATGGTACAATGGTACACACGTAGATCTAGTTTTCAATATTAATTAGGCTTTATGCAAATAAAATAAATAAGGAATTGGTTTTATTTATGACCGTAAAAAAATAAATAATTAAAACGCAATAAAAAATTAATCAACTTCTGTTCATATAATTAAAATGGCTTTAATTGACTAATGGAATAATGGCTATTCATTAATATTGTACGCACTAATTTTGTGATTTTTATAAAATAGATAAAATACGCACAAACCGACAGCGGGATAAAATATCATCTATATAAATTAAGCGTTGCGAGAACCTTCAAATATTGCGCTCACATTGGTTCCATATCTCCTTACATAATGAAAGTTAGAACGAACAAAAAATTCAGACAAAATAAAGTTTATTACAACTGAAACCGAAGACGACCTCGTCTCGTTATATTGATTCGAATGCAGTTGTAGTTATTGAGTGGTTGAAATATGAATTAAAATATGAACTAAAAAGCGTGAACTAAATATGTTTACTACACCAAAAAATGTATCATTTCATCAACAGCCTATAAATGCCTACTGCTGAGCAAAGCCTCTTCTCACACAGAGAAAGTTTGAGCATTAATCACCACGCTTGCTCAATGCCGGTTGGCGATTACAAACTTATAATTAAAAATTATAAGCCCAGGTTTCCTCACGAAGTTTTCCTTCACCGTTTGTCAGTGGGGTTTGAATATCTTAGAAAGTACACATAACTCGGAAAAAGTCACATTGGTACTTGCCGTTGGTAGGTTTCGAACCCGCATACTCATGCATGAGAAGCGGGCGTCTTAAGCCTCCGGGCCACCACGACATCAAAAATATGTACGTACAACAAAGATTATCGTAAACAAAACTAACATGATCTGGCACTAAGTATGTCTGAGTCTTATGTAGTAGGAGTGAACCTATTGTCCTATACAGGTCACAATTCCTGTTCTGACCCGAGAATCCAAACCAAGATTGCTTGCTCGGCAGTCGAAATTGCGACGAATCAACCGATGAGGCGGTCTATTTAATTATTATTTATAAACACATGCATAATATTATAGCACAAGCCAAAACATTATACAGTTAAAAAAGTAACTTATTATTATATTATATATATATAATATATATTTTATTACTATATACGTGTGTAACGGTCATCTATGAGACAGTAAAAAATATTCATAAGTAAATAAGCCTAAATTCCTACTTCGAAGAATTTACTACGGAAAAGGTTCAGTTTGTTGTAATGATGAAGGAAATTACAATATGAACTTTATCTTTCATGCGAGTCAAAGCACTTAATATTTAAGAGTTTCCTCGTACTTCGTATTACGATAAAAATATATGATACTTATTGACTGGTTTTCTATTGTTTTCCTGTAAAATATCATATCTTAACAATCACATGGTGACTTCACTACCTTTTTAATCCCCAAAAGGTCAAAACCAAAAGTGTTATGAGTGTTGTGTAAAAAGGGAATAATTCTTTTCTTGGCCTCAAGAAGAGTGGAAAATCCTCATCCTCCCCTCGCCTGAGAAAAACAGAGGGTATTCTCAAACTCTTACTGAGTAAAAACTACCCCGTTGTCCTATATCTCAATTGGGTACAAGAATGGAAGAATCAATTTCATCTGCAATATCATATGTTCAGGTGCCATTTCAAACGCCGAGTAACACTAACAAGATAACCGGTTTCAACTCTGTTCTGAACGTCTTACAAGACAGTATTTATTTTCTTTACTGTTATTCCCTCTAGATTTGTAATTGATCCATTTAAAACGAAATTGTTTGAAACAACGCCATCTACTGTAGACAGCTCGAACTAAAAAAGAGACTGTGCCTACGACCAAAGTGAATGTCTCATAGATATTCAAGTTACACTTAAATTGGAATGCTGTACATACAACCTTCGCTTAAAACTCGAACGTTCGGTACACGACTCTAGATATTCAGTATAGATGGCGCTGTACAGTATTTATCGAATAAGTAATAAAAACATCACAACAAAGTATGATACATGCATTTTTTATTTAAAAAAATAGTGTATTTTGCTGTGCACAATTCTTAATAGTCTTGTTATCATATATATAATTCTTTGGTAGTGAGGCGAAATTACTCTCTTATTATTTCTATCTGTAGTACTCTGCGAGGACAATCTGACTGTCCGGAGCTGGTGGCACAGGTGGTACGGTTGTTTGTGCCCCCAGTTCTGAAGCATCAGCTTAGGCCACGTGGGCACCCCTTACTGGCTGTCCCAGTAACGCGAACAGTCGCGCATGCAAATTCTCCGCTTGTTCGAGCATTAACGATGATCAATGCTTTCCTGGCATCCGCACCAGAGTGTGATTTGTTCGCAGCGAGATGGAAGGATGTATGTCGTGAATGTGTAAGATTTTGTGAGAAGATGGACGGCTGATGAATTAGTTTTAAGTAATTATAATTATTGTACTTTTTTATATAAGATACCTATCACATAAGTGTTAAATAGTAAATAAGTAACATTTTTTTATTGTTTAACTGTATAATGTTTTGGCTTGTGCTGTAAAGTTATACATGTGCTTATGAATAAATAAATAAATAAATAAATCATGGAGGCTTATCTAAAACCGAAAAATTCAATTATTCTTTACCGAGAGAGCCCGGACTCGACTATGGTCGCTCACATTTGAAGATACGGAAAGGTAATAATACAATCACAGTACAACAAATGCACCATCATAGTATTAACGTTTTCTAAAGTTAAATAAATATTATAACAGCACTTTAATAGCACTAAAAGTTCAATTGTTTCGCACATTTTCTTTAAGAAAACATGAACATATTAACATTTTTTTTTATACCACGACGGTGGCAAAAAAGCACACGGCCCACCTGATGGTAAGCGGTTACCGTAGCCTATGTACGCCTGCAACACTTGGGGCATTACATGCGTATTGCCGACCCTTAAAAAACCTATTCACTGCCTTCTTGAAGAACCTCTTGTTGTAGCCCACTGGGAAAACCACGGCAGGGAGCTCATTCCACAATCGGAGGGTCCGTGGGAGAAAATTCCTCTGAAACCGAACAAAACATAATGTTTTATACCTATGAAATCTGAATTATCGTGGGAACAACACAAAGAATGCTAATAATATTTTTATCAACATATCCGATGCCATATTTAAGTCATTGTGTAAAGTTATGACAAACTCTCTCTGAAAAATTACTGAGATGACGTCACTATTACGTATGCAAGAGCTTTTATATTAAAATATGTATAATATAAAACTTATTAACTGAATGTTGCCTGCCTCTGCTCGTTGCTGCCTCGTTGGCCGAGTGGTCGCAAGTGCGACTACCGGGCGAGGGGTCTCGGGTTCGATTCGCGAGTTGGGCAAAGTATTACTGGGTTTTTAAAAAAATCTCAGTAGTGCACGGAGTCTGGAATTGTGCCCGGTATATGGCAATAGGCTCACCCCCTATTACATGGGACTCATAACATAATTAGTGAAAAGTGGGTGTTCGGGGATAAAAGGCGTGATGTTATGTTATTAACTGAATGGTTCATACGTTTTATATTATTTTTTTCTCCGTTACCTACTTTTGATCGAATACCAATTATGTAGGAATAGGTAGGTAGTAGGAATTTGAATATTGTTGGGGATTGAAAGATTGGAGAGATTGGGGGAATGGTATTGGTGGGGGGTTGGGTCTTAATACAGTGTTAGTAGATAATGTAGTCTTATCCGTTTCAGATAGCATGCAGTCTGGAGCTGGGCACAAAGACAGACTATCTCGGGAGTCATAACATTACTATTAAAAATTACAGTTAAGCATGATCATTATGAGAAAAAAGATGCGTTAGTTGTATGTCAAAAAATGTGTGTTTAAAACCCAGTTGTGTGAAAAAATGCACAGCACTATAAAAACAGTTCATGGATCATTATGACAATCACTTATTCAAAGCTTAACGATTGTCTATCAAATAAGTAATCATTATTAATTAGTATGCTCAATTTAACGTACAAAAAACCCATTGGTCACCAGGTGCGTGCTGTTGAATAGGAGTCCTTGAGGGAACCTTAGGGAAGCCCAGAATTACGTGGCCACAGGCGCGCCAAGCAATCTGGGTCATCGATTTTATTTGCACAGAGGTATCTTAGAGCCGTGTTAGAATTATAATTTATATTATTAAATTATTTTAATCAAACAATTACCTACTTAAAATTATGTTGAATTTCAAAAGATATACACACGAACACTTCAGATTAAATGTTTAAAAAATATGGCTACATAATTTAAATTTTCAACAATGTCTTATTTGCAATATGATCGTTTTATTTCAAACTAGTGACCTGCCCCGGCTACGCACGGGTGCAATTTGCATGTATTTTATATATAAACCTTCCTTAAGAATCACTCTATCTATTAAAAAATACCGCATTAAAATCCTTTACGTCGTTTTAAAGATCTAAGCATAACTACATAGGGACAGACACTGTTAAAATTTTCACGCGACGAACGAACGAACAATGTTAAAATTTTCGGTATACTCTTTGATCCATATGGCCTACTGATACTTATTACACCTCTAGTACTAATAATGTTCGTGCTGTATGT